CCTCACTATTTATAGGGGAAGGGGAGAGGGGGGCCGCCCCCCAGATCCCATCTACAAGGGGGGCGGCGGCCAAGGGGGGTAACTTGCCCCCCAAGCATGTGGGAGGCGCCCCTACCCCTAGGATTTCCAACCCTAGGCACCTTGGGCCCCTTGGGGGGGCGCACCAGCCCACCAGGGGCTGGTTCCCTCCCTTGTTCAGCCCACTAGGCCCACCGGGGTAGGTGGCCCCACCCGATGGACCCTCGGACACCTTCCGGTGGTCCCGGTACAATACCGATAACCCCCGAAACCATTCCAGCGACTGAAACATGACTTCCCATATATAAATCTTCATCTCCGGACCATTCCGGAACTCCTTGTGACATCCGGGATCTCATCCGAGACTCTGAAAAACCTTCGGTAGCCACATACTATTTCCCATAACAACTCTAGCGTCACCGAACCTTAAGTGTGTAGACCCTATGGGTTCGGGAACCATGCAGACATGACCGAGACATCTCTTCGGTCAATAACCAATAGCGAGATCTGGATACCATGTTGGCTCCCACATGTTCCACGATGATCTCATCGAATGAACCACGATGTCGGGGATTCAATCAATCCCGTATACAATTCCCTATGTCCATCGGTATGTTACTTGCCCGATATTCGATCCTCGGTATCTCTATACCTCGTTCAATCTCGTTACCGGCAAGTCTCTTTACTTGTTCTGTAACACATGATCCCATGGCTAACTCCTTAGTCACACTGAGCTCGTTATGATGATGCATTACCGAGTGGGCCCAGAGATACCTCTCCGTCATACAGAGTGACAAATCCCAGTCTCGATTTGTGCCAACCCAACAGATATTTCCGGAGATACCTGTAGTGCACCTTTATAGCCACCGAGTTACGTTGTGACGTTTGGTACACCCAAAGCATTCCTACGGTATCCAGAAGTTGCACAATCTCATGGTCTAAGGAAATGATACTTGATATATAAACGCTTTAGCAAACGAACTACACGATCTTGTGCTACGCTTAGGACTGGGTCTTGTCCATCACATCATTCTCCTAATGATGTGACCCCGTTATCAATGACATCCAATGTCCATGGTCAGGAAACCATGACCATCTATTGATCAACGAGCTAGTCAACTAGAGGCTTACTAGGGACATATTACGATCTATGTATTCACACATGTATTACGGTTTCCGGTTAATACAATTATAGCATGAACAATAGACAATTATCATGAACACATAAATATAATAATAACCACTTTATTATTGCCTCTAGGGCATATTTCCAACAGCAACAACACCGCTTGGTGTTGTTGAGCGGCCTTCTTCCCCCCGTGTGCTCTTCTTTGGCGGTCCTTCCGGGGTTTGGCTGTCTGTATGGTTTTGTTGTTGTTGTGTTTCTTCTTTGTTGTTCTTCCCTGTGCACTCCGGTTCACTTGAACCCATCTGTATGGAGCCGCAAGGCTTCTAGGCAAATTCAATTGAATATATTCAGGTGGGGATTTACCCCCCACCCCCGGCGGCCATTCAAAAAAACAGTGGCAATGTGATTTTACAAGGTAAATCAAGCATTGCTTGAGCCCCCCCTCCTTGTGTCGCCCTCCCCTGCTGACTCAAAGGCGAAAAACCTAGCGCGCCACCCTTCAACCCAACCCCTCCCTCCTCGCATCGCAACCATAGGCTCCGGCAGGCAAAGTTCGCCTAGATCCAAGGATGACAGTAGCGGGGCAACTCACTGGCTGGCGCGAGGTGGCAAGATGTGGTTCTCGTGCGTGTGCATGTGTGTGTGGCGGCAGTGCGGGTCGCTGACGAGGGCGGCACACACGGGTTGTCGGGGCATGGGGCATTCGAGCGTCATGCTGCTTTTGTGCAGTTGCTTGAGGGTCGACAGCGACATTGGTGGCGGAGGTTGCAGGGCTGCAGGAAGATGGTGAGCGAAAGGTGTGGTCAGTAGCGAGAGGTTATCTCTACCAGCAGCTGCCGGGGGGCATATCTTACTCTTGGTGTTGCCCCTCTTATCAGCAGCGTGGAGCACGGGGGATGGTGCAGGTGGTGGTGCCAGTGCAATGGCTTGGATCGGTCCCCCTTCGTTAGTGTCAATGCTCAAGGTGAGCAATGATGTCTCGGGGAGGCTCCTTTTTGGATCCTATGAGGAAGCTTCTGTTGTCTAGCAGGGGATGAGGTCTTTCTGGCATGCAAGGTTACTGTTTGTAGGGTTTATCGGCATGCCGGTGATGACTACCCTCTGTAGTTTGGTCCTACGAACTCCTCTATGCCAATTTGGCGCAACCTTGTTTTCCATGTAAACTTATGAGACTTTTGGAGGTTGGGATCTGATGCGGCTTGAAGCTACGTCGGTATTTCCCCAAAGAGGAAAGGGATGATGCAGCACAATGACGGTAGGTATTTTCCTCAGATATGAAACCAAGGTTATCGAACCAGTAGGAGAACCAAGCAACAACACGTAAACGACACCTGCACACAAATAACAAATACTCGCGACTCGGGTATTAAAAGGGTTGTCAATCCCTTTCGGGTAACGACGCCAGAAATTGGCAGACGGACGTGAATAAATTGTAATAGATTGATAGATCGAACGCCAAATAAAATAAATTACAATAAGGTATTTTTGTATTTTTGGTTTAATAGATCTAAAAATAAAAGGCAAATAAAATAGATCGCAAAGGCAAATAATATGAGAAAGAGACACGGGGCCGTAGGTTTCACTAGTGGTTTCTCTTGAGAAAAATAGCAAACGGTGGGTAAATGAATTACTGTTGGGCAATTGATAGAACTTCAAATAATCATGACGATATCCAGGCAATGATCATTATATAGGTATCGCGTCCAAGATTAGTAGACCGACTCCTGCCTGCATCTACTACTATTACACCACACATCAACCGCTATCCAACATACATCTAGTGTATTACGTTCACGGAGAAACAAAGTAATGCAATAAGAACGATGATATGATGTAGACAAGATCTATTTATGTAGGAATAGACCCCATCATTTTACCCTTAGTAGCAACGATACATAAGTGTCGGTTCCTCTTCTATCATTGGGATCAAGCACCGTAAGATCGAACCCACTACAAAGCACCTCTTCCCATTGCAAGATAAATAGATCAAGTTGGCCAAACAAAACCCAAATATCGGAGAAGAAATACGAGGTTATAATCAACCATGCTTATAAGAGATCAAAGAAACTCAAAAAAGTTTTATGGATAAAAAGAGATTGATCTGATCATAAACTCAAAGTTCATCGGATCCCAACAAACACACCGCAAAAAGAGTTACATCATATGGATCTCCAAGATACCATTGTATTGAGAATCAAACGAGAAAGAGGAAGCCATCCAGCTACTAACTACAGACCCGAAGGTCTAAAAGAACTACTCACGCATCATCGGAGAGGCACCAATGAAAGTGGTGAACCCCTCTGTAATGGTGTCTAGATTGGATTTGGTGGTTCTGGACTTTGCGGCGGCTGGAATTGTTTTTCGTCGACTCCCCTAGGGTTTCTGGAATATTGGGGTATTTATAGAGTAAAGATGCGGTCCGGGGGGCACCCGAGGTGGGCCCAGGCGCGCCCTGGTGGGTTGTGCTCCCCTTGGAGCAGCCCGCAAGTGCTTCTTCAGCCCATTGGTTGTCTTCTGGTCCAAAAGAAATCCACAAAAAGTTTCGCTGCGTTTGGACTCCGTTTGGTATTGATTATCTGCAATGTAAAAAACATGCAAAGAACAACAACTGGCACTTGGCACTATGTCAATAGGTTAGTACCAAAAATGATATAAAATGACTATAAAATAATTATAAAACATCCACGATTGATAATATAATAGCATGGAACACTCAAAAATTATAGATACATTGGAAACCAGGATCTTGAATATGTGGATCTCTCAAGGCAACAACTCTCGGTTGGTTCCTGTACAGGGCGTTGGTTTGGAAGGACTATTGCTCTGATGAACCCTTCCACGATCAATGACGGCCGGTTGGCTACATCGACAAAGAGAGCGCGACGCTCTATCGGGTTGGTGGGGTGGAAGAAGATGATCATCCCTAGAGACCACGATGTATTTCATTTTTATATTAGTGTTGGTGCAGATGGTTTGATTAACGTATTTGAGGCATTTTAATGTAGGCGTGAAAAAAATATGCAAAATGACTTAACCTGTGCGTTTAACTTAGAGAGTGGCTAGAGGTGCTTCTTGATTTTTTTTGGACAATCTTTAGTAGTTTAGACACAGTCCATAAAAATCGTCATGGCTTTTGCTACATCATCCATATGATGCAATGTTTTATGGAGTGGAAAGTAAACTCGAAGTCACGTCGGTCTTCTAAGATGGAGTGAAACATCAAAAGAACAGACAACGGCGAAAAACATGTGACTCATCCAGACCCAATTATTAATAATTTGATTTCTAATGGACCCAAAGGTTGTTAACTTCTTCCCCGCACGACAATGTAAGTTTAGACAATGTCATAGAAGTTTAATACCTCTACCCAATGAGATTTCCAACACAAAATAGTTTCTTGACAGTTTAAATTCCGCAAGGACCTATAATCCAATGAGCTTTCAATTTGCAAGATTAAAAAAACTAATAGATGATAAGTTGCCTTAAATGACCATGTTTATTCACACATAGGTATAGAGTTCGTCGTCTTCATCGTACGCACGTGGATCTTCAACAAACTACTGATTGTCTTGTCAACTTCAAGCGGTTAGCTGACACCATCATTAGCAGTGTGTTATTCGTAACCCGTGAGCGGAGATGAGTATCCTTATGTTCTTTTCTTCTAAATCTTTGTGTATTGCATTTCCACAAGCATTTCCCGTGCCGCACAAGCCAAACCGAATTTGGCTCCACAATAAGGGTGGGAAAGAGATGTAAAAATGAAAGAGACAGCAGAAAGACCCACCTCCAGATTCGTGTGGTCGATCGCAGCCGTCCACCCGGGCCGTCGCCTTGAGAGCGACCGAGGGCCGAAATGAAAACCCTCCCGCCGCTGGCCCGGCAATTTCCCCACTTTTCCCTCCCTCCCTCCGCTCAACCCCACCCCAGCGCCATGGCCGCCTCCTCCTCCGCCGCCGCCCCCGCCGACACGTACGACATCCCGTGGGTGGAGAAGTACCGCCCCAGCCGCGTCGCCGATGTCGTCGGCAACGCCGACGCCGTCAGCCGCCTCGAGGTCATCGCCCGCGACGGCAACATGCCCAACCTCATCCTCTCCGTAAGCGCCATTTCCCCGAACACCTTGCGCGCGCACTCTCGCAACATGGAAAACTCACCCCGTCTCCTCTCCTCCCATGCCTTTTTTCGCCAGGGGCCTCCGGGGACCGGGAAGACGACGAGCATCCTGGCGCTGGCCCACGAGATGCTCGGGCCCAGCTACCGCGAGGGAGTGCTCGAGCTCAACGCCTCGGACGACAGGTTGCTGCCGCCTTGACTTGATTTTGTACTGGCGTCTCGTGGCTGTATGGATTGGTTGTCTGATGGTCGATCCGTGCTTTTGCAGGGGGCTTGATGTGGTGAGGAACAAGATCAAGATGTTCGCGCAGAAGAAGGTCACACTGCCGCCCGGACGGCACAAGATCGTCATACTGGACGAGGCTGACAGGTAATGCCATCCCCAGAGTGGGATTCAGACCTGTGTGATGTCGGTGATAAGCTGATAGCCCGAGAAACAAAAAGACATGTTAGTTACCTTGTTTCTAGCTCATCATCGTTTGGTTTCACACTCAGAATGTCATGATTTGTTCTAGATTATGCACCAATGACAGGTCATCATTATAATGAACTAGATAGGGGTTATCATATTTTTCTATGAAAATATGCAGGGGAAACCCTACATGTATATATTAAAACATAATAATGAATTACTTAGAACCACAACTGCAGCAGAAATTTTAACAATTTATCACACCTTTTGAGTCTTTTTTCATGGAACCAGAACTTCAGCAGAGATTTTAACAATTCCTCACACCTTTTGAGCATTTTTTCATGGAACAACAAGTCTCGCTCTAACTATTCACACAGCACCCAAACCTCACATTTGATAGCAAAATCTGACATGGCGGGCCCACTCATCAGAGCTTACTGAATAAACACGGACCTGTCAATTGCCCCTAAACAGAATACAAATGGACATGTCAATGGGCATTGCTCTAAAAACCAGACACTCTGCCATGAATATCGCACCAGAATGTTTATCATCATAGTGACACATGGTATGGATGGCAACTCAATCTGCAAGTGTAGTATTACAATATTTTGAAGAGCTTGAATTATGGCTCGAAATGTTGTTCAGTGATATAGGTAGCTACTCCCTCCGTAAAGAAATATAAGAGCGTTTAGATCACTAGTGATCTAAACCCTCTTATATTTCTTTACAGAGGGAGTATGTTTTTAGTTTCTGTTTGTGCCTCACACTTGCTACGTGCAGCATGACAACAGGGGCACAGCAAGCACTGAGAAGAACCATGGAGATTTATTCCAACACCACAAGATTTGCTCTTGCCTGCAATACTTCATCTAAAATCATTGAACCCATCCAAAGTCGCTGCGCTATTGTCCGGTTCTCGAGGCTTTCAGATCAGGAGATCCTTGGCCGCCTTATGATCGTGGTTGCTGCTGAGAAGGTAATGTTTAGTAGCTCTGGTAGTTGCCTACTTTGCAAGGACTTAGCTGTTGGAGGGTAGTGTCTTTGTTGTCTTAGCTAGAAGATAAAGCTGGTACTTAACTGTTCATTCATACAGCCATAACTGTCCAAAATATTTACCCAATGTGGACTCCTGGATGTTTTATGCATGAGAACTGCTGAAACCCTTACTCATACGCATAATTTTCCAACCACCTTGAATTATTATCAATTTAAGGTGCTTTGTCACTAATTGAAGATTAAGAGAACCCCTTTCTGATACATGATCCTACATATGTTTTGTTATTTTTTAAAACATTGAGGATATGTTTGCATGTATTAATTGTTCTTATTTATTTATAATATCGTCTGCCGTTTACTTTTGACCTTTCACCCTGCTTGTCATCTGAGCATAATGATTGTAATACATATATTAATATTACTAATAATTATATAAGAGCACCCAGATGACAGTCCTGTTCTGCAGTTAAGGAAAATGAAATTAGCCTTTCTCTTTACCAGCGGGAAAGGCAGAACTGCAACTGTATAAGAATTACAGGGTACCTTAATAAATAACCAAGAAGCTTAATTTGGTATTATGAAGAAGTATCTCCTACTTGGAGAGCTAATTTGGAGTGCTGATAAGTAGCTGTAATTCAGGGTACTGATTCCAACCACCATGAGCAGCAATTGAGATATGCGTCTTGCTGGTGTCATTACACAATTTGGTTGCTTGACTACTGGTCTTAATTCTTACCTAAACATGTAGATGCTTTGCTGCCGATATGGTATTTAACCGTGAATGCTTCCGATCCTAATATCACAAGTAATGGGGTCAGATAAATATTTTAATGCTACTTTAGTGTTCTTGCTGAAGAGGTTGTTATTTTCTGAACCAATTAATTAAGATTGTATGGCAACTACTGCATGTGGAGTGGATGTTACTTTGAACTGATAATAATCCTGTAATTATATAGTTAAAAAAAAGCATGCACTTTGCCTATCCCATGAGGATAAGTCAGTTTGGCCTTAGCAAGTACCTGCGCAACTACTTTACTGAATGTACTTCAAGGCTCACTGGTCTGAGTCAAGAGGTGCATATCCTATTGGTCATCCTAAACTGTTGAACAGACTGAGTTGTTGGATCTAGAAACTTATTACTCCCTCCGTCCCACAACATAAGATGTTTTCGCAAGTTAAGAGGGAGTATTTTGCATTTTGGTAACAAGGATGGCTAATATGAAACCTCCAGGAGCTTACCTACCCGCAAAACTGCAAACAGGCAACTTCCAGTTGTTTTTATTTTTATTTTGTAGTGTTGAAATCCATTTGATCATGTAGATACCACTATATTGTTCTTATTGCCTGTATGTTGGTTAATCCTTGAATTAGGGTGTGATCCTAACACCCCTATATGTTCTGTTTGTTAGTTCTGGGGTGCCCTTTTTTAACCGTATCTTTCTATTCTTGTTCAATGAAGGTCCCTTATGTGCCAGAAGGTCTTGAAGCCATCATTTTTACTGCTGATGGTGACATGAGACAAGCTTTGAACAATTTGCAAGCTACAGTCAGTGGGTTCCGTTTTGTTAATCAAGAAAATGTGTTCAAGGTTGGCACGAGTTATCTCATTTTGCATCATCTGAATTCTCCAATACTTTTTCAATTAACAGTAACGATGAACTTGTTCTAGGTTTGCGATCAACCACATCCCTTGCATGTCAAGAGTATGGTGAAAAATGTACTAGATGGGAAGTTTGATGAGGCCTGCTCTGGCCTAAAGCAACTCTATGATTTGGGCTACTCTCCTACTGACATAATCACTACTCTCTTCCGTGTCATCAAGAACTATGACATGGCTGAATTTCTGAAGCTGGAGTTGCTGAAGGTAAACCCTGTCTTGTTTATGCTCTCGTGTCTTGTGATTTATCCCGTCAACTAAAATTTCATGTTTGTATGTTCGCACAGGAAACCGGATTTGCGCACATGAGGATCTGTGACGGCGTCGGGTCATTCCTTCAGCTTTCTGGCCTTCTGGCCAAGTTTGCTCTGGTGAGAGAAACAGCAAAGGCCTAACGCTGTGCAGCTGCTCTGACATCAGTTAACAGTGTTGTCATGCATAGCCTGTTTTATCGCTACTCTGTCGTGGTATCTCAGTGTGTAAGATAGTTCTTCGCTGAAGTGAACTATTTATGCTTGTTTAGCATCGGAGATATAGTTGTAGCCTGTAGTGACTAGTGAGGAGACTGAGTCCTCTTAGTTCGAGTGCTTTTAGCCCAGCCATCCGTGGTTCACGCGCTGCTGTATTTCGGAACTAATCTGGGTATTTTTCGGGTCATTTTGTAGTCTATTGAGCTGTCGTGCCAGCATCATGAAGGAACCGTCAGTTATCCAAGTCAACTGCATATCAATTATGGATTGGCAGAAAATGGATTCATCATTTCCTTGCATTTTTATTTTTGGTCTGAATCTTACAGTCCCAACTGTCTGAACTTATGAGCAGAGTTTACGAAAGTGGTCTTCTAATCCTGAGCTCAAATGCTCTTGATATGGATAGTGAAATCTGAAAGAAAACAGATTTTTTTTTTCAAAATTTACTGTTTTTTTACAACAAACATTGCATGGGCTTCTCTGCCTGCGCGCAAATTTCTGTGATGAAATCGCATTTGTGGAGGTCTGGTAAAAAATTAACAAAATCAACACTTGAAAATGCTTTCAAAAACAGTTCTTTTAGCATTGATTTTGTTTCTTTTAGCCAGAGCATTCAGGATGTTTTTTCTTCATGAAAATTTGCATGTGTGCGGAAAATTAAGTGTAGAAACTCCATGTCCCAGAGTTTGCAGCTACTTTGTGTTCACATTTCAGTGCCCATGCACCATGACGTTGAATGTTACTCCCTACGTTCCAAAATGAATGTTGTGCAACTAAAACCATGACACTTATTTTGAAACAGAGGGAGTACAAATACTCCTAACATAACAATTAACAAAGTTCATTCTTTCTAGATGACTGATTGCTTGCTGGATACCATTCTTGGAACCCAAGGCTGCCTCAAAAGAACCGAACATCTGGCCAACGGAACATTGCCATTCAGAGCGAGTTCCTACAGAAAGCATCACATCTTGCTGTCACCAACGCTACCAAGTCCGGGCCAAAATGCAAACAAAAGCTTAAGAAGACTAGCCTCCAACTGTCTGTCCAAAATGCAAATGTCACGAGAGAGAACAGCCGGGAGAAGGCCGAGTCAATACCCGAACCACCACCATTGCTCTGTGCTAAGGACCTGCCCAGCCCAGCCCGGTCCTTACCACCCAGCAAAGGCCACACTCCTATTTTCGCGGTTCGTTCTTGACTCCAAGACCCTTCACCGTCTGCTCGCTCGCTCCTAGGCCAAAAGGGTTCCCCCGTCCCCAAGCTCGCTCAGGCGTCGCAGCGCCGTCTTGATCCTGTTGATGGTGCAGGAGATGAGGCTGTCCACGGTCTGCACCGACTCCACGGTGAGCTTCCCGGTGGGCTGCCTGTTCCCGAGTATCTGGAACGCCACGGTGAGCAGCGAGCCGCATGTCTTGTGCCCGTCGTCGCCAGATATGCTCGGCCCGCCGGGCAGAATGGCGAAACCGGATGGCAAGAGCATGATCGATGCCGGGTCGCCTTCCCCGCCCATGACACGGCGCATTGCTGGGATGTCCACTGGGGTGTACACCACCATTGAGCTGGATGCATCTGTGCACGTCTCCTGTAGGATCAGGATGCTGCTGTCCTGCTGGGTGTTTGGGGCCTGTACCATGTGATGTGAGACAATATTTAGGGTCGAGGTAAATAAAAGAAAGGGAGGACAGGAAGAATAGATAGTCACACAAATCATGCATGATTAACATCCTGAAGCCAGAAACAATCAAACAACACGATGACATTTTCTGCCAAAATGGCACAGTACATGTTCACAGAAACTAGATGGAAGTTCACACAGATTTAGAACAAAAAAGCTTGCTGTTTTCATATATGTGTCCACTTGACTGCATGCAACAACAACAACAACAACAACAACAAAGCCTTTAGTCCCAAACAAGTTGGGGTAGGCTTATTAAAAAAAACATGTCCGAGCATCATCATTTAGACGTTTGATTTCGAGCACTTCCATTGATAACATACTAGTAAATTTCATGATTTTGTGTACAACTGCAGTAATTCAAGCTTTGACTGCATGAATCGTAAAAGTACATCTAATTTGGTTTAACTTCGATACAACACACATCCTAATTTACTTCCAACCTTCAGTCTCTTGCTGTTTTCTTCTATTACAAAATGACACATTTGGATGCGTGCCCAAGAAAATAATAATTGCTGTTTCATATTTCTCCTCCAGTAAATACATCTGACCATTACCTTTTCAAGTTCTATGCTAGTTAACACTATAAAAGACACTTATGTGTGTACTTCCATTGATAAACATACTAGTAAATTTCATGATTTTGTGTACAACTGTAGTAATTCAAGCTTGACTGCATGAATCCTAAAAGTACCGTCTAATTTAGTTTTGGAATAGAAGTGGTACAAGGCTGGTGAAAACATCTTTATGTTCTTCCTCAAGAATATAACTCCCAATTTCACACGCTTCATTCGTCATCATGCTCAGTATTAACTTTTTTTTTTTGAAAAGGAGGATCGTGCCCAGCCTCTACGTCATTGCGATGCACACAGCCAATGCTCAGTACTATTAACTATGCCTGACCCATATCTACACATGTTACACCTTCTGAACAAACATTCAGAGCACAGAAACAAGTTTTAGGTATATGTGTTTTTTCTTCTTCCGAAAAGCTTAAAAGTGATGATTGTTCCCAAGACTAAAGCACCGAATGAGCTCAGCTTCTAGATCACTGAAAAGCCTCCCGACTACTAGTCAGTTAAACATGCAATGTTTCTAGTAAGCATAGAAGGAGCAACAACTAACTAGGCAAAGCTATAGATAATACTCACAGTGGCCTTCAGTAGAGATACGGCGTTGCCATTCTGTTGCCCCTTGTAGATTTTTGTCACCTCCTGCATAGGGCCACCCTTGCTTAGGATGTCCCATTCAGCCCGCGTTCTCTCATTGCACAGGAAGTTGAAAAGCCGTTTGGGTGTTACAAGCATCCACACCGATGTGGCAGCACACAGCACCACACCAGCTGGCACCCCAGGTTCATCCACACTCCTACATGCCATGATACGCACATCCTCCCCAATGCTCCCCGTGACGTCCTCCAGTTTGCTCCATTCAGCAGAAGATGCGCTCACCCCCGCACAGAAGTTGTCCATCATCCTCTCTGCCAACCTCAGCAAGCTCCGTGATCCTTCCAACATGGCATCTGTGAAAAATGTGGTACATTGCCATTTTAATTCCAAGGAAGTATGCAAAGCATGCCACATAGATGTTGCACATTATCATATTTCTGTACCTGACGAGTCTTGCTTCGGCATGAGAACGTCCAAGCAGTCATACTGGCGCTGTAGCGTCGCAAGCCACCGCCCTGCACCAAGGGCAAGGCCAGACCGCAGGAGAGGCCGGTAGAGCTGGTGCACGGAGGATTCATCATATACTGTATGTTCAACCCATGTAACCTGCAGTGCAAATTCAAGTGCATCTGTTAGCACGTAAGTGCATGAATGCATGCCCAAAACGCAATCTCAAGCTCTGCAGTGCAATTCTACTAGTGTCAGGTACACAGTGTAAGTGTATAGTGCTAGCAAATCATATTTTTACATTTTGCTGAAATATTTTGACCAAGTTTTTTAATATGAAGAAGAGCAGAGAATAATTTAGACTAATCCTATCTCAAGATACTAACCTATTATGAACTCCTACATTGTACTCCCTCCGTAAAGAAATATAAGAGTGTTTAGATCACTACTTTAGTGATCTAAACACTCTTATATTTCTTTAGAGGGAGTAACATGTACTGAATGATTACATTCCAATAAAACTATAATTTGACACATTTTCCCACACTGTTGATTGCATCTAATCAACAAACGATGAGTTGATGAAGAGAAGATAAACAGGAAACCAACTAAATAGCACGGCCTTTTTCACATGACTGATATACAAACAGCTGATCGTTTTGCACACGCACGGCCTTTGTGACAAGCCACACAAACGGCAGACATAACCCCTTGTCAACTTATGGACAGATAGCACCAAAAAAAGCTGATAGTACGTGAATTAGATGTGCAAAAAATAACTGAACCTTCCTCTTTCAAAGACTAAAAGTACTTTCCATGAAGACAAACAATAGACTTAGTGGTCAAGATCTTTAATTCTCGACAATGAGACAAATTGATGATATTGTGGGCAGTTAGTATAGAATTTTTGCTTCAAGAATTCGACTCGAGATTAAACTAAGAAAAGGCACATGCTTTGGAAGAAATACTGGATTATAAATCCAGTTAATTATTCACAAATCACTTGTTTACCCTCTCTCTGCTGACAAGTGATTACCTAACTCGCGGTGGAGGGCTTGCAACCACAGATACTTAATCTATTGAAAAACTGAGCCTACCCTTTTGGCTTTGTGAATACTATATAGCACGGTGATCAGTCAATAACACACTAAACCAACTAAAAACACTCTGAAAAGAACATTCTCATGTGGTCATTGAGAACCGGAACAAACTTGCATTTCGCAACAAGCCAGCTGATGATCATCATATGCATAGAGCAGCAAACCAGTGGAACTAGCACGGTTGATTTTGGTGGTAGCCAAATAAGTAACATAGCTATTACTAATCAATGGATACAGAGGCAGACGAGTTTCAGGCGTGCTAACATTGCTGTCTATTGTCAATCTAAGAACAATGTAGAGAGGATGGTGTACCTTGCAGAAGCCATTGGGGGTATCTTGCACCACACAGCCAGAAGGCAGCCTCCGGCACTTCATATTTGCAGTGGTGGATGCCACGGCAAGGCCTTGCTCCATCACCAACTCATCCATGGAAACATCCACTACAGCCCAGAAACCCTCACCCAACTTTTTGCAGAATCTGAGAAAGGTCACCTCCCTAATAGGGACAAGAGGCGAAAGAACCTGCAGCTTTGCCTGCATCTGTTGCAATGATAGACGAAACACTTAGATGCTAGTACAATTAAGTGCCTATAAGGCGTGCTTATGGACACTGGATACTGATCAACACGAACACTCACAAGCAGCAATGCACCATCTCTACTTCCTGCAGCTCCAGTAGAGATCTCCTCGATCGTCGATGATTCGGCAATTATGCACGAGAAAAAACGGGACCAACGTCTCTGCAGCAAGATTTCAAAACAGGCAATGTAAGTTCAGACATACAAGGAGTAGCAACGAGAAGGCAGGGGGCACAGTGAGACGACGATGGGCAACCTCATCCAACAGAGTCTCCACAAGCTCGACGCTGCCATCACTGCTTACAATGCCGGACTCCCTAGAGGCCTCGGATACAAACCCCGGAGGCTTCACCCCTATGGCTGGCGAGAAGGTCCTCAAGTACACTTCATGGTTGAGCGTCTCCTTGGCAAGGGAACCAGGCAAGGGAACATTTGGAATCCACAACGGCTCGTCCATCTGCGCCATCTTGACGAGCTCATCCATTGCACTCGTCGCAAGCTCCAAGAACACGGACCTGTCGATGCCAGCCTTCGCCATGGCCGTGATCGCCATTCCCGCTGTTTGGCTGGAGGGACTGCCCGTGAACTCGGTGACCGTCGAGTTGGCCACGGTGGTCGCCGGCACTGAACCAATGCGCTCCGCTGGCGAGCCTGGCGTTGGTGGCGCCGCCACGTAGGAAATGGACCTGCCAAGGAACACGGAAGCGAGAGCGCAGAGTCGGCTGAGCTCGTTCTTGAGCGTGGCGTTCTGGACGCGCAGGTCCTCCTCCTCCAGGGACGGCGACTCGTCAAGCATCGCTGGGACCGGGCCGCCACAGCCGCCACACACTGGATGCGCCATTGCCACCCTGAGGGACAGGTTCTCGGCGCGCAGCTTGCCGTTCTCCGCCATCAACTGCTGGTTCTCGTGCAGCAGAGATTCCCTCTTGCAAGATGAACCACCACAGAGAGGAATCAGCCGAGCCGTGTCAAGAAGTGCACCAGTGAAGAAGGATCGAGAATGTTGGAGCGGTCGATAAGACTAGATTGGTTAAGAATCACTACCTTCAACTGCGTGCGCCGGTTCTGGAACCAGAACTTGACCTGACTCGGCTGGAGGCGGACCCTCTTGCCCAGCGCCGCCCGCTGCTTCTCGTCCGGGTGGGGGCATTGCTCGAACAACCTGCGCCGATGAACAGCGGCATGCATGATCAAAGAAGTGGACACGACATGAGCGGAATTTCCTTTTTTTAATGTATGGGTGCGTGCGCGTACGCTTGGAGCTCATGGATCTGCCGAGGGGTGTGGCGCGCGTTGGCGGGCCTCTTGCGCTTGCCGCGGTGGTCGAGCTCTGGCGCGGCCTCGCCGTCCTCGCCGCCGCCGGCATCGCCTCCGGAGACGGCGTGGAGGTGGTCTGTCATCGACCGGCTGCCGTCCTCCACCTTCACGAAGCCGCGGCCGTCGCCGGCCTGCGGTTAGCCACGGGAAAGGGATTAAAGAAAAGAAAAAGGCACGCCTTTCGCGATCGCCGGACCGGACCACGCAAAGAAGAAGAAACCCCGAGTAGTTGCTACTACAGCACGTGGAGTAAGAGTGCGCGTACCGGCGCGAGGGAGGACGGCGGCGAGAGGGAGGAGGAGGCGAGGGCGCCCGGGCCGGCGGCGGCGTAGTAGGGGAACTCGTTCATGCCGGGCGCAGGTCCGCCGTCGTCGCCGTCGCCGTCGAAGAAACCCCAAAAGGCCATTCCCTTTTCCCTCGGCATCTGGTGGGAGGAGAAGCGAGAGAGAGAGGCAAGAAGGCAGGGCAAAGCCTGCGGCAGCGCAGTGAAGCGCGTGCTTCTCGGGCGCGACGCTGCGTCTGGCGTCAACCAGTTTTCTTCAACCACTCCCTCACGCCTTCCGTTAAAATATAGGACCAGACCAGGCCGGGGCCGAAAGAAAGCTTGGCCGCGAAGACAAGACGATGCGCGATGCGCCGCGATGGGACTGATCGGCAGGCGGAGCACCCCGTGGACCGGAGCAGTGCCCGCCTCGTCGCGTGCGTGCGTGCGTGGGAGAGCAGGGGAAGAAAGAAAGAAGGTGGAGCGGCGTGGACGGACGGGGCGGTGAAACGGAAGTGGGTCGGGGTTTTGTTCGCTTCTGGGGTTTCTCTCTCTCTCTCTCTCTCTCTCTCTCTCTGAGCTCTCTTGCATGGCAATGGCAAAACCTTCTGCTTTGAGCGCCGAGGCTTTTCCTTGCTGCTTTGTCCGCTTGTTACCGCATCGTATCCCCGCCTTTCTGCCGTTGTCTCTCTTGCTCGCTCGTCCGCCCGCCGATCTGCTGCTGGGCTGGCTCCTCCTTTTCCCGCACGGAGAGGCGTGGACCCTGCCGGCTGCCGCGGTGAGGTCAAAAGGCGAGCTCTGCCGGTGCCGTGTCGGTGCCTGCCTGCCTGCCACCGTAACCGCCTGTCCGTGGCGTCACAGCGACCGCGAGAGTATGCATGATCCGGCGGACGCATGCCAGTCGTTTCGGAGAACGGGAAGGCGTGACGATGTGCGTGGCCCCTGCCACGGCGGCGACGCTTCCCCGCACGATGCTACTGCCCGTAGGTGGTGCGCGTACCCAAGCGCAACGAAAGCCCGGATCTCGTGGATGCCGGGGTGGGCAGGAACCGAGGCGCTGCAGGCCTGCGGGGTGAGGACAGCCTTGCGACTTGCGAGTCGGGCGACGACGGGGCTGACCCGTCGGATCAGCCGGCGAGGCGCGCGCGACGTGCTCCTGTCTGTCACGCCTGATGGCTTGATGGGATGGGGTGCTGCTGGCCTGCCCATCCACATGCGCCCCACCACAAGAGAGCTCGAGTTTTCCTTTTCTTCCAAACTGTTTCGAAGGTAGATCCATCCACACAAATCAGTACGAGTAGTATGCTACTCCAGCACATACTACTGATTTTGATTATTTCGGTTGCCATCTTGTAGCGAAAACCATAATTGCCATTCTAACCATTGGCGTGCCTCGTATCCCTATCTTTCGCGCGACATTTTGGTGATCCGCGTTGGAATTGCCCTCTACTTGTGTGAACGTGTTCACAAACATTTGATGACGTCCGTTTTGGCGATCCACGTTGGAGTCGTCTTCACACCGATGTAATCAAACAATCGCTGTCGCTCTGTCCTGCTAGTCCTGATTTGATGACTTCCTGCTGATGTTGAAGGTGTTTTGAAATGTCACTGTTATAATTTTCGGTATCAATTTAAGGAAATTCTTGTGAGGAATCCTCCAAAGTCATGCTATTGCCTCCTTAACAAAAAGATGGTGCCGAAGAGGGGGAGGGCTCCTATCTTTTTTCTTTTGACAATCATGTGTAGCTTTTATTAAACAGTCACACTGTTTACAAGGACGAAAATAAGATCACTGGGGTGGCCTAACCAAATATGGCGACCTATCCCCAGTCCCAAAGCATGCTTCGCTAGATTGTGAGTTTCGAAATTCAAGCTCCTAAACTCGTGAACAAAAGTACATAAATCAAAGCTACTAGAGTACTCTATGATCTCATGTATGATAGCCCCATAGCTCGGGCTACTCTTCTACTTAATATCGTTCACCACGTCCATGCAATCAGTCGCCACGTGAATCGCTTGCAAATGAAGATCTTCTGCTAGTGCCGTCGATTCCCTGGGTGCCATGGCTTCTAGTGTCGTAGGGTCGGAGATACCCTTGACCACGACGGTGGATGCACCAAGAAAGAGCCATTCCCTGCTCTTGCACATCGCCGCTACCGCACCAACGTTTGAACTTCCCATGCAAGCTGTATCAACATTTTTTTGGATGTACCCAATGGCAGCTACAACCACTGAGTTGGTCACGCCATTCTGGCCTGCACCACTTTGTCGCTCGGGTTCTTGATCACATGAAGATCATCAGGAATGAATTAATGAAAGAGTGTGTTGTGGAAGGACTCTAGAATATATCCTCATATATAGTTTTCCTCCTGGCTGCCCAACTGCCCACAAGGTAATCGTCATACGTACAAAACGTTCATGCGAGAGGGCATCCTTCAAAGCAAAAATTCATTCCCTCGCATTTTCACCATCATGCTGACTCATATGCTCGACAAGAGCATCGTCAGATAGAGCCCACACACTGCTTGCCATCGGACACTCAGGCAAAGCATGCCTCCATGAATCCCTGGCACCACAAAACACACATGTAGATGTAGTCGACATGTTTCTATGGTGGAGTAGTTCCGCTGTTGGAATGGAGCAGCGTGCAAACCGCCATAGGAACAACCTCACCTTCGATGGCACGCCCGTCCTCCATAACTTAGTCCATTCATTACCCGTGTTGCCAGATGCTGATGTGTTATCTTCACTTCCCTGCTCTCTCGCCAACCTTGCTTGCACAATCAGTCTATAGGCCGATTTTACAGAAAAATTACCCTTCTTTTCTCCACTCCATGCCCAGAAATCTTCCATGTCGCGAGTACATAGAGGGATAGACAATATTGCTTCTGCATAGATAGGTAAAAAGACAGACCGGACAAGTTGCTCATTCCAAGTGGCCTCATAGACAATGATAAACTCCGATACCAAGCGCGGCGGATTTTGTGTTAACGGTGACACCGGTCTCATCATTCCCGGTCTCGGAATCCATTTTTGTGTCCAAACTTCAGTCGTTTGCCCGTTGCTAATTCGCCGGACTATACCCAACTTTAGCATATCCCTTCCGTCCAGAATTGCTCGCCAGATTTGCGAGGGTCTGCCCCCAAGCTCCGCCTCCAGAATGGAAGTCTGGGGGAAATACGAGGCCTTCAAAATTCGCGCACTCAGCGATGTTGCTTCTGTCAAAACTCTCCAGGCCTGTCTTGCGAGTAAGGCTAGGTTAAAAATCTCCATATCCCTGAAACCGAGCCCCCCTAGGTGCTTCGGCCGTGTCATAGTATCCCATGCCACCCATGCTGGTTTTCGTTTGCCGGCCTTACTCCCCCACCAAAACTGGCGAATGATGGAGGTTATGTTCTCACAGAGTCCCCTCGGAATCCTGAAACATGCCATGGAATAAACTAGCAGTGCTTGAGCCACTGCCTTGATAAGCACCTCCTTTCCCCTGCCAACAAAAGCTTCTCCATCCATCCTTTCACCTTCTCCCACACCCGATCTCTCAGGTATCTGAATGTGTCCATCTTTGACTGGCCAACATCAGTGGGCATGCCCAAGTAACGCTCATTTAGAGATTCGTTCTGAACATTCAGAGTTGCCTTGATGCTATCTCTCAGTTGTTGTGGACATCTCTTACTAAAAAATATTGATGATTCATCATGGCTGATTTTCTGCCCCGATGCCTTACAATAAACATCCAATAGGTTTGAAACCGCTACTGCCCCCTCAATACTCGGCTTGAACAACAACAGGCTATTCCGCAAATAGGAGGTGATTTAGAACCGGAGTTGTAGTTGCCACCTTGATCCCACCCAACACAGATGACCGAGAACTGGTTTTAAGTAGGCACGTAAGGCCCTCTACTGCGATCAAGAAGAGGTAGGGGGATATCGGATCTCCCTGTCGAATACCTCGTGATGGTGTAAAAGACTCAAGTTTCTCTCCATTAAATGACACTGAGAAAGAGACTGAATTAATCATACTCATGATGATGTCTACCCACTGATGTGCAAAGCCAAACTTGATCATCATTGCCTTGAGATACGACCATTCCACTTTGTCATATGTTTTCATCATGTCCAACTTCAGTGCGCAATGGCTGTTTGACCTGGACCTGCTCCTCTTCATAAAATGTAAGCACTCGTAAGCACAAATAATATTATCAGTTATAAGCTGGCCTGGAATAAAAGCGGACTGCTCCTTTGATAAGATGTCGGGCAAGATAGTTTTTAACCTGTTTGCAACAACCTTGGAAGCAATCTTGTATATGACATTGCATAAACTGATGGGCCGGAATTGGGTAAGGAGAGTGGGGTTCATCACCTTGGGGATAAGCACCAATAATGTATCATTAACACACGTCGCACTCTCCTCCCCACTACTTATACGAAAACTGCTTCCGTCACTTCATCACCACATATATCCCAGTGCCTCTGGTAAAAGTGAACTGGGAAGCCATCCGGCCCCGGTGACTTTGTAGGGCCCATCTGGAAAAGCGCCTTCTTCACCTCCTCTGTTGTATATGGAGCCGTTAGCATCTCATTCATCTGAGGCGTTACTTTCTTGGGGACATGTTGAAGCATATGGTCCATATCTGACACCCCCTCTGTCGTATACAAATCTCTATAAAAAGCAGTAACCATCTGAAAGATCGTGGATGTCGCCTAAAGGGGGGGTGAATAGGCGCTTCTAAAATAAGTACGGTTTAGGCTTGAACAAATGCGGAATAAACCTAGCGGTTAATTTGTCAAACACAAAACCTACAACAACTAGGCTCACCTATGAGCACCAACAACTTATGCTAAGCAAGATAAACTACTAGGTGATAGCAAGATATATGACAAGAACCAATATGGCTATCACAAGGTAAAGTGCATAAGTAAAGAGCTCGGGTAAGAGATAACCGAGGCACGCGCAGACGACGATGTATCCCGAAGTTCACACCCTTGCGGATGCTAATCTCCGTTTGGAGCGGTGTGGAGGCACAATGCTCCCCAAGAAGCCACTAGGGCCACCGTAATCTCCTCACGCCCTCGCACAATGCAAGATGCCGTGATTCCACTAAGGGACCCTTGAGGGCGGTCACCGAACCCGTACAAATGGCAACCCTTGGGGACGGTCACCGA